CAAGATACGGTAGTGAATTCAAAAATTTACAAACAATAAAAACTTTGTATGTTACACTAGTTAGATCGGTAACGGAGTATGGATGTATACTTTGGTCACCTCAATATAAAATCCATATCGACAGATTAGAGGCGATACAACGAAAATTTCTTAATTGTGTTAAGCATAAATTGCCCAACAATTTACAAATAGACTTCAATTACAATTTAAGTTTGAGCTATCTTGGAATGACAACATTATGTACTAGACGAAAATACTTTCAACTTTGCTTTGTTTTTAGAGTCATGAACAATCTTTTGGACTGTAACGAAATTCTGCATTCCCTATTTTTTTATGTTCCGCAGTTTGCTGTGAGGAGAAGTCCATTGTTTAGTATAGAAAGCTGTAGGAGAAACTATACTTTAAATTCTCCATTGAACACAGCACTCCGTACTTGCAATGAGTTCTCTGATTCATTGGATTTTTTTAATTGTCAATCTTATGCTGTTTTTAAAAATCGTGTCCATCATTTACTGTGTTCTTAAAGTTACTGTAAATGTAATCTGTATCATTATTATTGTAAATGGGATACTTACTTGCCCGTGAATATAGATTATCATTATTATAGCGACATTAGGTTTTGTGGTGTGCTAATCTCTGCATCAAAGAATGTTATATTTAGTTTTAGTTTTAGTTTTATTTCATGTACATCCTAAATTTTTAGTTATAAGTTACTTAATGAATTGCTTTCTTGTTTTATGTAATAGGAGTTTCTTTCCGTTAATAAACTATTATTATTATTATTATTATTATAAATTTTATCAATTTTTGGCATTCGTAAGTTTTTGAAGTACCGATTCTAGATTTTTTTTCAGTTCTTCAATTTTTCGATTTTTAATTTCTCTGGTTTCTAATTTTTCAATTATTCGATATTTAATTTTTAGATTTTTGAAACTTTCGACTTTTTAATCTCTCCATCTTTCAGAGTTCTTCGGTTTTTCTGTTTGTCATTTTTTTTTCCAATTTTAAAATTCTAGATTTTTCAATTTTTCGATTTTCTCAGTTTATCGAGATTTCAGTGTTTCGGTTTTTCAATTGTTCAATTTTCCGATTTTATTACTTTTTGAATTTTTCAATCTTCCAATTATTAAGTTAATTTCTCCATTTTTCGATTTCTCGTTTTCTCGATTCCCCGATTTCTTCATGTTTCGATTTCTTGAGGTTTCAATTTTTCGACTTTTCGGCTTTTCAATTTTTCGATTTCCCAAATTTTCGAAAATTCAGTTCGGGACTTTTTCAATTTCTCGATTTCTCGTTTTTTCGATTGTTTAGTTTTTCGGTATCTCAATTTTTTCATTTCTTAAATTTTACATTTTTTTGTGAATTTTTCAATTTTCCGATTACACGATTTAAAAAAATTCGGCATTTCAATCTTTCGATTTCTCGCTTTATGCATTATTCAAGTTTTCGAAATCTCAGTTTTTTTAGTATTCCAATTTTGGGAATTTTTGAGGTATCGATTTCTCGATTTCTCTTTTTTTTAGTTCTTCAATTTTTTGATTCTCCAATTTTTCAATTTCTCAAGTTTATAATGTTTCAATTTTTCGATATTTAATTTTTCGATTTTTTTCAGGTCTTCTGTTTTTCTATTTGTCAATTTTTTTCGATTTTTAAATACTAGATTTTTTTCAATTTTTTGATGTCAATTTTTCAGTTTTTAGATTTCTCAATTTTTCAGTTTTCTGGATTTATCGACATTTCGATGATTCGGTTTTTCAATTGTTCAATTTTCCGATTTTATTAATTTTTCAAATTTCCAATCTAACAATTAATAATTTTTCGGTTTTGGGCTATTTCAATTCCTCAAAATTATATAAGTTTTTCTATTTTCGAATTTTCGATTTTTTGGCTTTTTCATTTATCAATATCCCGATTTTTCAACTTTCGATTTTTCAATTTTTCTATTTCTGGGGTTTCTAATTTTTCAATTTTGCGATTCTGCAATTATTTAAAATTTGGTTTTTCGATTTTTTAAAGTTTAGGTTTTTACATTTTTCAGTTCTTCGGTTTTTCTATTTATCAATTTTTTCCAATTTTAAAATTGATTTTTCAATTTTTCATTAATTCAGTTTGAGGATTTTTCAATTTCTAGAGTTCTTGGTTTTTGATTTTTCAATTTTTCGATTTTTCAATTTTTCAATACGATTTTTTGATGTTTCGATTTCAAGATTTAAATATAATTTTTCTTTTCATTGAATTTTCGATTTCTCGATATCTCGGTTTTTCTATTTTGAGAATTTTCAATTTCTGAATTTTTAAATTTTTCAATTTTCGATTCTTAAATTTTATCAGTTTTTGAGGTATCGATCTCTCGATTTTTTTTCCAGTTCTTCAATTTTTCGATTTTCCAATTTTTAATTTCTCAGGTTTCTAATTTTTCAACTTTCCGATATTTAATTTTTCAGTTTTTGAAACTTTCGACTTTTTTTTTAATTTGTCCACCCTTCAGAGTTCTTCGCTTTTCCTATTTGTTAATTTTAAAACTCTAATAAATTTTTCAATTTTTCATAAATTCAGTAAATCAAAAAATGGAAAAATCAGTTTCCGATTTATCAATTTTTCAAAATTTCTGTTTTGAAAATTTTCATTTTCTGAATTTTTCAATTTTTCGATTTCCAATTTTTCAATTTCTCGATTTACAATTTTTGATTTCTCAATATACCGTTATTTCAACTTCAATTTATTGATTCTTTACATTTTCGATTCTTAAATTTTTATCAATTTTTGGCGTTCGTAAGTTTTTGAGGTACCGATCTCTAGATTTTTTTTCAGTTCTTCAATTTTTCGATTTTCCAATTTATAATTTTTCAGGTTTCTAATTTTTCAATTTTTAATTTAATTTTTCGATTTTTGAAACTTTCGACTTTTTAATCTCCTTCTTTCAGAGTTCTTCGATTTTTCTGTGTCATTTTTTTTTTCCAATTTTAAAATTCTAGATTTTTAATTTTTCGATTTTCTCGGTTTATCGAGATTTCAGTGTTTCGGTTTTTCGATGTTCAATTTTACGATTTTCCGATTTTATTAATTTTTGAATTTTTCAATTTTGCAATTATTAATTTTCGATTTTGGGCTATTTTAATGCCTCGATTTTTCAATATCTCGATTCCCCGATCTCTTCATGTTTCGATCAAAAAACCGAGATGTCGGGAAATCGAAAATTCAAAGAAACGAAAAACTATATGTACTTACTAAAAATTTTTGAATCTTGAAATCGTAAAATCAAAAAATTGAAAAATCGAAAAATGTAAAATGTAAGAAATCGAAATATTGAAAAATCAAAAAAAAAACAAGAACTCAAGAAATTGAAAATTCCCCAGAATGAATTCAGGAAAAATTAGGAAATCGAAAAATTGAAATATCGAAACATTGAGACATAGAAACATGCAAAGATAGAGCAATCGAAAAATCTGGAAATCGAAAAATCGAGGAATATAATGGAAACATCGAAATCTCGATAAATTGAGAAAAGTAAAAAATCGAAAAATCTGAAAACTTCCAAAAATGAAACATTGAAAAATGAAGAAAGTGGGAAATCTAAATGTCGGAAAAGTAGGAAAATCGTAAACTGAAAAATTCAAGAATCAAAAACCTGAGAAAACGAAAAATTGAAAAAATGGAAAACACAGGAACATCCAGAAATCGAGAAGTCGAAAAATGAGAACAAAGAGTAAAAAAAATGAAAAAATCGATCAAGTGGAAGAAAGGAAAATCGAAAACCTAGGAACGCCAAGAATTGAAAAACTGCAAAACCGAAAAATTAAAAATCAAAATTTGAAGAGTCGAAAAATTGAGAAATCAAAAATTGAAAAATCGGAAAATCCAAAAGCCGATATTTCAAAAATGTGTTATACAATTTTCCAAAAAACGCATTCATAAACCATAAGTTGTTACTTTTTAATATTTTAATAACATTTATTAGCCAAAGTCGTAACATGACATCATCAATTCCTGGAGATAACATGAACGGATAAATTTTGATTAACGATTTACCATGCTTCCGATAACCTTAAAACGTTTGCAGAATTTCAAACTATTCGATTTTGCAATTTTAAAGTCAAATTATAAAATGCTGTTATCCAAATTTGATTTTTTTAGAAACACAACATTTACTATTGTAAAATTTGGTGGTCCATTTACAATACTTCGTAAAGTACATAATAAAAATATTCAATCGAAGAAATACAGTTTATGTATTTCATTATAAAAAAAAAATGAAATCACATATAAATTTGACAACAATCGGTCCAGTTTGAAAATTGACAGGCAATATTCCTTAGTATACGCTTGGGTAGTTAAAAATAAAAGTCACGCAATCAAATTTTATAATTTATCTAAAAAACTGGATTTGTTTGATTTTTTCCTTTGTTTTTTTAAACCCAGTAATATTTTGACATTTTATCTAAAACATAAACAAGACCTCCAGTTAGCTAATAAATCCGGCGCAAAACTACGTCCTTGACGGTAATATATTTTTTGTGATAAAAATGACAACTCGCAATAAACATGGCCAACTTATTAATCCCGATTTCATTAAATCTTTTACAGTTCTACTGGTATTATCACGTTATTTATTCTGATTAATTCAAAAACAGGTCTCGTTACCGCGCACCACGATTAAAAAAAAATGTTTCTCTCCCCCCACACCGCCGTCGCTGGCGCCCATTCGCGCCCCGCCACTGTCTTGCCAAACACTGACGTTATTGACACTTGACGAAAACGTGATTTTCCTTCACGTGCACTCAAATTGCGCAAATTACCACAACATTCCACCCGAAACGCAGATCCACATCCCGGCGAAAAATTCCAGGAAGCTGCGCAATTTTCCCAAACAAAGAAAAAAGCTATTTTTAGCCGCACTTTGCCATGTTTGCGCGGACCACGCGTCGGGAATTACATAATAAAACGCAGTTTACCACGTTAGGTTAGGTTAGGTTATGTTATGTTTTGATTTGGATACTCACCCCCCGGCGATCAGATGTATGACAGAGTCCCTCTGAGACATGTCATGTAAGCCCTTCACAAAAGGGCCCGGCGACGCACTGGCACTCGCACACACTCTCGCATGCCTCTCAGGCTGAAATCCGGCCCTGCGCGGGGCTCCTCGCACCCTGTGGACGTGACACGCACCGCGTAGGCCCAAATTCACAAATTTCTCGGAATGCCGCACTGTTTTCGCCCCCCCACCACCGCACAGTGCATGCCGCGATCACGTGGCCCTGTTTTCCGGAAAACACCCTAGGGCCTGTTGCGCTGCCAACCGTCCTCGCTGCACTAAGCACTAGGTGGATTTCCGCGATTTTCCGACTTGGGTGCAGCGCTCGCAGCTCGCAGTTGCGCACCAACTGAGTCTATGTAAACAAGTGTTTGATTTATTTTTAGATTATCTCCGTGGCGGCAATTACGCAAACGGGGAGGGGGATAGAGGCAGGCTGACACTTTTTGGCGGGAAGCTGGCGCCGGATACTATTTTTTTGAGGGTGGTACGCACTTATTGTACAATGTGACATTTTTTAGTAACTTTTCGTAGGTGATTTCTTATCTGTTACGAATATGTTGCTATGGATTAATCTAAATTTCAAATTCGCATTTATTGACAGGTACAGGTACTAAAAAAGGAAGGTCAAAAAGAAAAATTTTTTGTAAATTGAATTTTTAAGTTGGTAGACTCATTAATCAGTGACGTGCGTTGTCTGTTGCCACTACTTGTTATATTTCATACAACAACTTTATTTTGAATGAATACAGTACACTCATCAACTACAAAAATTGGTCTAAAGAGTTTAAACGGTACTTTCCTCGCTGTCGGAAATGTGAGTATTTTAAAAAAAAAATTGCGATGACGTCATCAACATTTTTGCAAGGACACGTATATCAGTGTGGATAGATGCAGTGTAATACTATCAGTTGATGGTTTTAAAATCCATATCCACGACATAATAATAATAATATTTTTAATAATTTTCAACTGTCGGTCTCGCTGAAAATAAAACTATTTCTAATAATAATAATAGTAATTTATTGTCAAACAGAACTGTTCCAATAGACACAATAAAATATAAATAAGAGAATTGATGGCTACATTTGCCTTAAATAAAAATTAAATGAACTCTCCTTACAATTAAAAATATCTAAATTAACTGGTAGATTGTTTATAGCAGTCACAATTTTATTAACAACAGAGCTATTTAAACCAAAATTAGTTTTTCTAAAGGGACAAACAAATATATCGCGGTTTCTGGTATTAACTGAAGGCGCTTTGAAATTTAAAAGCAACAAAAGCTGTGGACAATCTATTTGATTATGCAAGAGTTTAAACCCAAATCGTAGCTTAAATTTCAAAACGCGTTTCGACAGTGCTTCCAATTCCGTTAAATTGAGTCTCTGTTCATAATTATATTGCGATTTATTAAGCCCCATCTTGAAAATTAAAAAGTTACACATTTTTCTCTGCACTCTTTCTAGTCTTGTTACGTGGACTTCATAAAAAGGAAACCAAATAATTATGCCGTACTCTAAGATAGGTCTAACTAGTGTAATAAAAAGCTTACGAACAGCAGCAACGCAGTGAAAATCTCTAGTCATCCTTTTTATGAAGCCACTTATACGATATGACTTATCAATAATATAATCCATGTGGCTATTAAAGCGTAGTTCAGAATCAAAAACTATTCCTAGATCTTTAATTTCATTCACTCTTTCCAAAAGCTTATTTTTTATAGCGTAGGCGAATACATAGTTACATAATTTTCTAGAGAATGTTATAATCTTGCACTTGTCATTGTTGAGCATCATATTATTATTAATACACCACTTCGTAGTAACATCCAGGGCTGCTTGGAGCCGATAACAATCTTCAAAGGAACTTATCTTGGAAAAAAATTTTAAATCATCAGCAAAAAGCAGTAGATTCGATGTAGAGAGGGATACTGCAAGATCATTAATAAATAGTAGGAAGAGTATTGGACCAAGATGACTGCCCTGGGGAACTCCGGAAGGTATTAAGAGAGAAATCCCTTTAACGAAATTATTTGAATACGATTGGTAATATAAGAGAAAATCCATGTGTGAAACTGACAACAAACACCGAGATACCAAAGTTTTTTCATTAAAAGAGCATGGTTAACACGATCAAACGCCTTACTAAAATCTAAATAAACCGAGTCAACCTGGCATCCATCTTCAAAAGCATCGATAATAAATTCATTGTATATAGCAAGATTGGTCACTGTACTTCTACTAGGAAGGAATCCATGTTGATACGGTGAAAGGATGTTTCTGTACAGTCGAATAAGTTGTTCACTAATAATTGATTCTAAACCCTTACATAAAGCAGAAATAATCGATATAGGTCGGTAGTTAATAACTTCAAATTTGTCTCCAGAGTTATGCAGGGGAATCACATGAGATTGTTTCCAAATATTGGGACAAATAGCATTGTCGATAGATTTTCTGTAGAGTAAAAAGACAGACCAGGCTAAGCTACTAGCACACTGATTTAGGAAATAAGGAGGAATTCCATCTGGTCCTGGATTTAAACTAGGTTTTAGAATTAATAGTTTGTTTCGATTCAAGTCAGGATTTAAGTCAATATCATGTAAATTAACATTATTCAGAAACAAAGAGGGATTTAATTCAGGGTTTTGGTTGTTCACGTTTGAATCATATACAGACTTAAAGTACTTAGCAAACATATTGGCAATCGTTTGGGGATCAGAGGAGTGTAAATCTTGGTAGTGCATATTTTTCGGTAGACTAGATTTAGAATTGCGACTTTTGGAATTTACGTAGTTAAAGAAGACTTTAGTATTATTATGAACGTTATTTTCAACGAAGCATATATAGTTATCGTGGTCTTCTTTTATTGCAGCCTTAGCTAGTCTACGAACCGCTTTAAAATGATTATAATGGGTTACATTCAATGTAGATCTGTATAATGAAAATAATCTACGCTTTTTATTTACAAGTTTAACAGTATTTGGCTTAAACCATACTGGAAAATGAATATTGGGCTTACTAGTTTTAGGAGTACAGATATCAATAGCCTCATGAACAATGGAGTAGAAAGTTTCAATTGTAGCTTCAATATCTGAATATTGCTAAAGAGAACCCCAGTTTATAGATGAAAAATAGTTATTTAAAAAGTGATCATTGGCTTTTTTGAAGTTATAGTACCAACTGATTGAAGGCACAATATTGGAAGTTGCATGATTTGTGGGGAGAATTATACAGAGTGGAGGATGATGGTCATCCACGGTAACTAATCCGAAATCTTCACTATGAACTTCTGTCGACGAAGACGTTGTTAATATTAAGTCAAGAATAACACCGTTTTTATTAATCTCATGATTATGCTGAAATAACTCCAATGAGGAGAAACCATCACAGATAATTTTTTCTTTGTCGCTGACCCCTGCCATACAATTTCTTGAATCATTGTAAACGTTTTAAGGTTATCGTAATCATCCTAAATCGTTAATCAAAATTTATCTGTTCATGCTCCCCCCCAAGAATTGATGATGTCATCTTACAATTTTGCATAACAATTTTTCAATTTTCGAATTCCCGATTTTTCAACTTCGATTTCTCAATTTTTCATTTTTCAGTTTTGGGATATTTCAAATTTTTTATTCAATTTTTCGATTCTTCAATTTTTCAATTTCTAAATTTTAAAATTTTAGACTTTACGATTTTTCAATTTTCCAATGTTTTAGTTTTGGGACCTTTTGCTTTTTCCATTTTTTGATGTCCCAATTTCTTTATTTTTAAATCTTTTTCGATATTTTAATTTTCTCATTTTTAAAATTTTTGGGTTTTTGAATTTCTCGATTTTTCAATTCTTCGCTTTTTCTATTTGTCAATTTTTTCAGTTATAAAATTTTAGATTTTTCAATTTTTTGAATTTCAATTTCCTCGATTTATCGAGATTTCGATGTTTCGATTTTTCGATTGTTCAATTTTCCTATTTTTCGATTTTATTAAGTTTTGCAATTATTAATTTTTTCATGTTTAGACTATATCTCGATTTCTCGTTTATCGATTTTTTAGTTTTTCCGTTTTGCAATTTTACGATTTAAAAAAAAATCGGTTTTACGATTTTTCGATTTCTCGATTTTTCAACAATTCAATTTTACTAATTTTTTAATATCCGGTTATTTTTGGTTTTTCAATTTGTCGATATTTTCATTTTTTGATTTTTTGAATTATAAATTTTTCGATTTTTAAAATTTTTGAATGATTTTTAAATTTTTTAACTTCTCGGTTTTAGATTTTTCAATTTTTTGTTTTTTAAAATATTTGATTTTTCAATGTTTCAATTTTTTGCTAATTTTTCAATTTTTTCAGTTTATCTATTTTTCAATTTTTTGATTTTTCGATTTATCGAGATTTCAATGTTTCGATTTTTCGATTGTTCAATTTCCCGGTTTTCCAGTTTTTCAATTTTTTTATTTATCGATGTTTTTTAATGTTGAAGGTTTAATTTTTTCAGTACCTATCTATGCATAAATTATTCAATTTGGGCTACTCCAATTTCTCGATTTTTCGACCTCAACATGTTTCGATTTTTCAATTTTTCTGATTTTTCGACGTTTCGGATTTTCGATTTTTCTATTTTCCAGTTTTTCATGATTTCGATTTTGAGTTTTTCGTTTTTACAATTTTTCGAGAAATCAGTTTGGGGATTTGTCGATTTCCCAATTTCTTGATTTTTGATTTTTCAGTTTTTCTTCGATATCTTAAATTTTATATTTCCCAATTTTTCAATTTTCCGATTTCACGATTTTAAACAAATTTTCGGCTTTTCGCTTTATCGATTATTCAAGTTTTCCATTTCTCAATTTTTCAGCATTTCAACTTTGGTGGTTTCGATGTTCGGTTTTTCAGTTTGTGGATTTTTTAAATTTTACATTTCTCGATTTTTCAATCTTGCGATTTGACAGTTAAAAAAAATCGGCTTTTCGATTTTTGGATTTCTTGATTTCACGATTTTTCAAATTTTTGATCTCTCAATTTTTCAAGATTTCAATTTTGGGAATTTTTCAATTTCTGGATTTAATATTTTTCGAAAATAGATTTTTCGGTTTTTCAATTTTTCGATTTTTCAATTTCTCGATTTTTCAATTCTATTAATTTTCCATTTTTCAATTTTCAATTTTTTAAATTTTGATTTTTCGATTTCGTTCGATTTTTCATTATTGTTGTTTAAATGTCTCAATTTTTTAAATTTTGGGTTTTTCGATTTTTCAGTCAAATTTTTAAATTTTTTGACATCTCGATTTTCCGATTTTTTTAATTTTTCGCTTTTCGAATTCTAGATTTCTCAGTTGACTTTTTAAGTATTCGATTTCTGGAATTTTCAATATATCATTTTTGGTAATTTTTTAATTTTACTATTTTTAAAATTCTTGATTTTTCAATTTCGAGTTCAGTTTATTAATTTATAGATTAGTTTTGTTTAAAAATGTTCAATTTTTCAACTTCTCAACTTTGAAATTTCCAGATATTTAAATTTCTCGATATTTTGACATTTCAATTTCTCGATGATTCAGTTTTTGAATTTGACAAAGTTTCGATTTTTCATTTTCGAGGTTTTTGACATCTCGGTTTTTCGATTTTTTTAAATTTTACATTTTTCGATTTTACGATTTTTTGATGTGTTCATTTCTTGACCTTTCGGTTTTTTGTTTTTTTTTAATTTTTCGCCTTTCGATTTTTAGATTTCTTAATTATTCAAGTATTCGATTTCTCAAATTTTCCACATTTCAATTTTGGGAATTTTTCAATGTTTCGATTGCTCGATCTTTCGATTTTTCGACTGTTTGAATTTCGATTTTTCGATTTTAAACTGTTCAGATTTTTCGATATGTATTTCCAGTTGCCAGTTTTTTAATTCAGTGATTTTTTTTATTTTAAATTTTTCAACTTTTCAACTTTTTGATACTTCGATTTCGCAATGTTCCAATTTTTGAATTTTCCAATGTTTCGATTTTTCAATTACTCGGATTTTCGATGTTCAATTTTCCAACTTTTCCATATTTCCAATTTTCGATTTCCTATTTTTTGTCACTTTAGTTTTACAATTTGTCAATTTCTCTACTTTTCGACTTCCACAGATTTCCCATTTTTCAATTTTTTAAATTTTGGATTTTTGATTTCATGCGATTTTTCGGTTTTTCAGATATTGGATATTTGAATGTCCCAATTTTTTAAATTTTTTTGATTTTTCGATTTCTCATTTTTTTTGGGATTTTTTTTCTGAATTTTTCAAATTTTCGATTTATCGATTTCCCAATTTTTCGATGTTTTAGTTTTAGAATTTTTTTTACTTTTTCGATTTATCAATTTTTCGATATTTCAATTTTGGAATTTTTCAATATCTTTTTCGAGTTTTTAAATTTTAGGTTTCCGATTTTAAATTTTTCGGTTTTTAGATTTTTTGATGTTTCGATTTCCCTATTTTTCAATCTTTCTATTCTTTTTGGTTATTTTAAATTGTTCGATTTCTCGATTTTTCATTTCTTCAATTTTTCTATTTATCAATTTTTCAATTTTTAAATTTTTTAGTTTTTTGTTGTTGCGTATCACGATTTTTCGACTTCTCGGTTTTAAATTTTTCAGTTTTTTAATTTAAATTTTTTTTTTTTTGGATTATTCGAATTTTCAGTTTTTCGGTTTTGAAATGTTTCAATTTTTCGATTTTCCGATTTTTGATTTTTTAAATTTTGATTTTTTGACTTTTCGATTTTTCAATTTCTCAATTTTTCAATGTTAAATAGTAAGATTTCTCAATTTTTCGACTTTACAGTTCTAGATTTTTAAAATTTTTGATTTTTAAATTATTCCATTTTTTGATTTTTAAAGTTTTTCGGTTTTTAAATTTTTTAATTTTTCGGTTTCTGTATTTATCGAGATTTCGATGTCTCGATTTTTTATTTTTTCAATTTTTCCATTTATAGATTTTTGAAAATTTTCGGTTTTTCAATTTTTCGATTTTTAAAATTTACGAGTGATTTTTCAATTTTTTGATATTTCGATTTTTGGGCTTTTAAATGTTTCAAGTTTTCAGTCGAATTTTCAGTTGTTTAATTTCCCGATTTTCCGATTTTTCGATTTATTGATTTTATTAAATTTAAAATTTTTCAGGTATTAATTTTTTGGTTTTGGGTCACCTAGATATCTGGATTTTTCGATTTCCCAATTTTTCGATCTTTTCATGTTCCGATTTCTCGGTGTTTCAATTTTTCGACTTTTCAGCTTTTCGAGTTATTGATTTTCTAATTTTTCGATGAGAATTTAGTTTGGGGATTTTTCAAATCTTCTATTTCTTGTTTTTTCGATTTTTCAGTTTTTCAATGTTTCACTTTCTTAAATTTTCCATTTTTCCATTTTTCGGTTTTTAGATTTTATGATTTTTGAATGTTTCGATTTTTTCAATATTTTAATATTTCGATTTTTCGAATTTTGGCTTCTCGATGCTTTAATTTTCTGATGTTTCAATTTTTTGACTTCTTGGTTTTAGATTTTTTGATTTTTTCTTTTTTCAATTTTCTTTGATTTTTCAATTTTACAGTTGATCTATTTTACAATTTTTTAATTTTTCGATTTCTCGATTTAACGAGATTTCTTTTCGTTTGTTGAATTTCCTGTTTTTCCATTTTTTCGATTTTTAGATTTATCAATGTTTTTTAAAATTCTCATTTCTTCAATATTGTATTTTTTTTTCAATTTTGGGCTACTCTAAAATCTGGATTTTTCGATTTCTCGATCATTTCATGTTTCGATTTCTCGAATGTTTCAATTTTTCGATTTCTCAATTTTCTGATTTTTCGACGTTTCGGACTTCGTTTTTTCGTTTTCAAAAAAAAAAAATCAGTTTGGGGATTTTCCGATTTCTTAAATTTTACATTTTTGATTTTTTGATGTTTCGATTTCCTCCAATTTTCAAATTTTCAATGTTGCCTGTTTTAAAATTGAGAGTGGCTAAAAACTGAAAAATGGGAAAATTCAAAATTGAAAAATTTTAACTTAAAAAAAAACGATGAATCGAAAAACTGAAAAATTAATTCCGAAAAATTGAAAAACCAGAAAATCTAAAATCGAGAAAGCGAAAAATTGAAAGAAAACCGTGAAGTCGAAAATTGAAAAATCCGGATATCGAAAAACTGAAAAATTAATTCCGAAAAATCGAAAAACATGAAGGCAAAAAATCGAAAGATTTAGAGATCAAAATAACAAAACAGTGAAAAGCCTAAAATTTAAAAATTCGAAAAATTGAGCAATTAGAAAAAACTGAAAAATTGAAAAATGTAAGACTTAAAAAGTCGCAATATTCTGAAAAATCGAAAAAATAAAAAATAAAAAAAAATAAGTCGAAAAATCTAAAAGTTTAAAAATCGACATACATATTGAGAAATCCCAAAACTTAAACATTGAAAATTTGAGAAATCGAAAAATTGAGAAATCGGGAAATCGGAAAGACGAAAAATCGAAAATTCGAAAAATTAAAAAATCGATTAATCGAGAAATCCAAAAATTTAGAAAAGCCAAAAATTGGAAAATTAAAAAATTGAAAAATTTAAATACATAAAGCCCAAAACTGAAACGTTGAATAATTGGAAAATCGAAAAATCGAAATTGAAAAATCGAAAAATCGCGAAATTGAAACATTAATCTATCGAGAAATCGAAGAGTCAAAATATCGAAAAATGGAAGTGGATAAAAATCGAAAAATGGGAAAATGGAACATCGAAATTTTTGAACTTAAAAAAAGGTATAAATCGAAAAAGTGAAAAATCGAAACATCGAAAAACTGAAAAATTAATTCCGAAAAATTAAAAAACCAGAAAATCTAAAAACGATAAAGCGAAAAATTGAAAGAAAATCGTGAAGTCGAAAATTGAAAAATCGGGATATCGAAAAACTAAAAAATTAATTCCGAAAAATTGAAAAATCGAAAAACATGAAGGCAAAAAATCTAAAGATTTAGAGATCAAAACAACAAAACAGTGAAAAACCTAAAATTTAAAACTTCGAAAAATTGAAAATTCTAAATATTGAGAAATTGAAAAATTGTAAAATATAGGACTTAAAATGTCGCAATATTCTGAAAAATCGAAAAAATTAAAAATAAAAAAAATAAGTCGAAAAATCTAAAAATTTAAAAATCGACATACTTATTGAAAAATCCAAAAATTTAGAAACGCCAAATATTGAAGAATTGAAAAATCGAAAAATCTAAATACATAAATACCAAAACTGAAACACTGAAAAAATTGGAAAATCGAAAAATCGATTATCGAAATTGAAATATCAAAAGATCAATTTCCATTGTCCTTTTTAACAAATTTGGGAAATCATCTTCTCATTTTTCCCTATTATTAGAAAAGGTGTTGGCTAATTTTTTGTTCGGCTCAGAGCCCGTTTTTTGGAAAATTTTTAAAAACTATTTTCTTTCCAATTTTTTCGGTTACATATTTGAAAATGGCGCATGTCCGCAAAAAAGTGGCAACCTGTCCCTAGTCCACTGTTGTTGTTTGTTGTCCCCACCACCGCCCGTGCACGCCGCGATCACGTGTCTCTGTTTTCCGGAAAAACCCCTAGAGCGCGTTCGGTTGGCAGCCCTGACCGGTGCAGTGGATTTCCGCGATTTTCCGCGTCGAATGCAGCGCAGCGGTTGCGCACCAGCCACCACTATGTAAACAAGTGTTTGATTTATTTTTAGATTATCTCCATAGCGGCAATTACGCAAATAGCGATAAGTGAGGTTATGTCACATCTGGAGTCATGACTTTCGTGGACGTCCTGCCCAGGATGCCCAACAAGGCCCTGCACTGCTACCTCCTGATGATCATCTGGATCCTCCTGCTCGTAGCCGGAGTGTACAAATTCCTCGAGCCGAAACAGAAGCTCCCCGAGCCCTCCGTGAACGCGGAGCTTTTCCACAACCTCGCCAACGACATAAAAACGCGCCGCATCTTCAAAATATGCAATTTCCCGAGCGAAATGGACGACGGGGACGAAGGTAAACCCCCTCGACCCGCGAGCGCCGCTCTCATGGCTTGCCGTAGGTGTGATCGAGTCGAGGAAGTGGGCCATGACGGGGCTGATCGCCCTCATCCGGCACGGCGACAGGGGGCCCCTGCAGCACGTGCGGAACATCACGGCGGTGAACTGCGGGACGGAGGAGACGGACAAGTTCGTCTCCTACAAGGTAATAATTCAGGTGTTGGCAACCGGACCAGATAAACAAGTTTTTGGATTAATTCTGAGCGCGAGGGCTATTTTACGAACGCAGATGGGTATTTCGGGCGGCGGGAGCTATTTTTGAGCGTGCATTAAGTTGGAAGTGCCAATGGAACTTTGTAATCCGTGAGGAATTTGTGGCGATAAGGGGGGCTATTTTTAGCAGAGGACGACGGAAAGAACCGGTTCGTAATGATTTGTTTACGCGATTATTTATGTAGTGGATAATCAAATTTCGTATTTTTGAATTTCGGCTATTTTTAGAATGATTTATGGGTGCCGTAAATTAAAGTTGGTAGGATTGAGGCGGGTCGAGATCTGTCAGTTGAGGTTTAATCAGTGGCGGCGCAAAGAGAGGGACAGCGTTGTATTAATTTCGAAATTTTTACTACTTATATAGTACATTTGCCAAATTGTAAGACAAAAATGTGTCTAAAATTAAAATATGCTTTCAAACGTGAGTTTAAACTATGGAAAATTGTGGTGATATGGTGGGGAATTATTTTGCACACAAGATGGAAACAACCCGTTAGTAATGATTTATTTATTTACAAATTTATGAAGCCACGAATTATATTTTACTATTTTTAGGTAGATTTATGTTGGTAGGATTGATGTGGGTCGAGAACTTAGTGGCGTAAAAAATAGATCTGTTGAGTCACTTTTCTCAAATCACAACCTTGGTATAACATGACTAAACGGCGAAAAATGAGACAATGAAAGTGTTGATAAAAAAATTGAAAAATTACAATTCACAAAAAAATGAAAAATTTGCATGAACTGTGAACTAGAGTAGAACTAGAAAGTAAATAACAAAATAAAAGAGAATAAAATAAATAAGTCGTAAAATATATTTGAAAAATTGAAATATCGATTTGAAATTTGTAATATTTTTTTGATACCACAACATAGCGCTTACCGTTGTTTATCTCTAATAAACCAAGCATAATTTTCAAGATAAAAATAATCAAATAAATTAAACTCGAGTGGTTGTCAACTTGTGCGATCAGGTGTACACTGGAAGTGGCTGAAGTTTTCCATGATCTTACGTGTTACATCGTGTTTATGTCTATTCTGTGGTTTTATTTACACAGATTTTATTTTTCAATTTTTCACAGAATTTTCGAGTTTTTCAATGTCACAATTTCTCAGTTTTTTAATTCTTTGATTTTGCAATTTTTCTTAGATTTTTCGATAGTTTAGTTTTGGGATTTTCAGTATTTCCATTTTTTAATGTTTCGGTTTCCAGATTTTTCATTATTTTAATTTTTCAGTTTTTTAAATTTTAGATTTTTTAGTGCTTCGACATTACTATTTTTCAATTTTTTGAATTTTTAAATTTTAGATGTTTCAAAATTAATATTTTTAATATTTCGAGTTCTCGATCTTCCGATTTTTCGACTGTTTTTCGATATTGTGATTTTTACATTTTGGATTTTTCAATTTTTGACGTTTTTAAATTAGGTACAATTTTTCGATTTCTCAATTTCTTGATGAAACGATTTTTTAATTTTTCCATATCTCGATTTCTCAACTTCTCAATATTTCAATTTCTCCGTTTTTCAATTTTTTGATGTTTCAAATGTTCTTTCAATTTCCCGATTCTTCAATTTTCCTTCCATATTTCAATTTTTCAACACTTCTGTTTTGGGATTTTTCAAAGTTTCGATTTTTTGATGTTTCGATTGCTCGATTTATCGAGATTTCGATGCTTTGATTTTTTGATTTGAGGATTTTTCGATGAATCCACTTTTCGGTTTTTCAATTTTTCAGTTGCCCATGTTTTGTCATTTCAGTTTTGAATTTTTTTCTATTTCTATTTTGATGATTCGATTTTTTTCATTTGTTAATTTTCCCATTTTCAATCTTTACATTCTTCAGTTTTTCGACATTGTAATTTTTAGTTTTTTAATTTTTTCGAATTTATAAATTTTTTATTTTTAAGCTTTTTTCCGATCTTTCGGTTTTTTCAATTTTTCGATGTCATAATGTTTCGTCAGTTCAATTTTGGAATTTTCCAATTTCTCGATTTTTCTGTTTTTCAGTTTTTTAATTATTTTAAATTTTGGTTTTTCGATTTCTCGGTTTTTCGTTTTTTCGATTTTCACTTTTTACATGTTTGAATTTTTCGATTTTTGATGTTTCGGTTTGTAGATTTTTCAGTTCTTCGATCTTACAACTTTTCGTTTTTTTAATTTTTTTAGTTTTTGACGTTTCTAAATTATCAATTTTTCGATTTCTCAATTTCTCGATTAAACGATTTTTTAATTTTTCCATTTGTCGATTTCTCAACTTCTCAATGTTTCAATTTCTCCGTTTTTCAATTTTTTAATGTTTCAGTTTTGTGGTTTTTCAATTTCCCGATTCTTCAATTTTCCTTCCATATTTCAATTTTTCAACAATTCTGTTTTGGGATTTTTCAAAGTTTCGATTTTTGATGTTTCGGTTTATCAATTTTTAAGTTTTTCAGTTCTTCGATATTTGTATTTTTCAATTTTTTGAATACAAATTTAATTTTAGTTTCATCAATTTTTCCAATGTTGAAATTTTAAATGTTTGAGTTTTTTGATGCTTCGATTTCTCGATCTTTCGATTTTTTCGGTTTTTAATTGTTTCAATATTTCGATTGCTCGATTTATCTTGATTTCGATGCTTCGATTTTTCGATGATTCCACGTTTCGGTTTTTCGATGTTTCAGTTGCCCAATGTTTTGTTTACATTCTTCAGTTTTTCGACATTGTAATTTTTAGTTTTTTTATTTTTTCGAATTTTAAAATTTTTGATTTTTAAGTTTTTTTGATTTTTCAATTTTTCGATTTTGGTTTGTTTCGATTACTCAATTTTTCGAATTTTCGACTCCCGATTTCTCGATCTTTTGATGTGTTAGTTTCTGAATTTTTCATTGTTCGATCTTTTGGTTTTTTCAATTTTTCGGTGTCATAATTTTTCGTCAATTCAGTTTTGGGATTTTCCAATTTCTCGATTTTTCTGTTTTTCAGTTTTTCAATTTTTTTAAATTTTGGATTTTCGATTTCTCGATTTTTCGATTTTCACTTTTTACATGTTTGAATTTTTCGATTTTTTAAAGTTTCGGTGTGTAGATTTTTCAGTTCTTCGATATTACAATTTTTCTCGTTTTTTTAAATTTTAATTTTTTCAGTTTTTGACGTTTCTAAGTTATCAATTTTTCGATTTCTCAATTTCTCGATTAAACGGTTTTTAAATTTTTTCATTTCTACAATTTTCAGGTTTTTCATTTTTCAATTTGTCGACTTCTCGATTTTTCGATATTTTGATGTTTCAGTTTTGTGATTTTTCATATTTCAGTTTAGAGATTTTTCAAAATTTCGATTTTTCAACTTTTGGGTTTCTCGATTTTTACTTTTTCGATTTTTTGGTGTTTCGATTGATGGATAGATTTTTCAATTTTTCCGGTGTTCAAATTTTAAATGTTTCAGTTTTTTGATGTTTCGATTTCTCGATCTTTCGATTTTTTGACTGCTGGGTTTTTCAATTTTTCAATATTTCGATTGCTCGATTTATCGAGATTTGGATGCTTCGATTTTTTGGTTTCAGGATTTTTCGATGATTCCACTTTTCGGTTTTTCAATTTTCCAGTTGCCCAATGTTTCGTCATGTTTTGAAAATTTTCAATTTTTCGATTTTTCTATTTCAATTTTGATGATTCGATTTTTTCATTTTTACATTCTTTAGTTTATCGACGTTGTAATTTTTAGATTTTTCATTTTTTGGAATTTTTAAATTTTTGATTTTTAAGTTTTTTGATTTTGGTTTGTTTCGATTACTCAATTTTTCGAATTTTCGACTTCTCCACTTTTTACATGTTTGCATTTTTAATTTTTTTGATGTTTCGATTTGTAGATATTTCAGTTCTTCAATATTACAACTTTTCGTTGTTTTAGATTTAAAATTTTTCAATTTTTGACGTTTCCAAATTATCAATTTTTCGATTTCTCAATTTCTCGACTTTTCAGTGTTTCAATTTCTCAGTTTTTCAATTCTACAATGTTTCAGGTTTTTCAGTTTTCAATTTTTCGACTTCTCGATTTTTCAATTATTTGATGTTGCAGTTTTGTGATTTTTCAATTTTTTGATTCTTCCATTTTTTAATTTTTCGATATTTCAGTTTTGGGATTTTTCAAAATTTCAGTTTTTCGGTTTTTACTTTTTAGAATTTTTGATGTTTCAATTGATTTTTCAATTTTTTGAATTTTTAAATTTTAGGTGCTCGTTTTTTGTTGTTTCGATTTCTCGATCTTTCGATTTTTGACGTCTCGGTTTTAGATATTTAGGTTTTTCCACTTTTCGCTTTCATTTTTGGAAATTTTCAATTTTTACATTTTTCAATTTTTATTTTGCAAATTTTTGTTTTTATAATTTTTCAATTTCTCCTTGCTTCAATTTTCCCATTTTTTAATGTCCAGTTTTGAAATGTTTTAATTTTGTTTTTTTTTCGTACCTGAATTTATAATTTTTCAGTTTGTAATTTTCCGAGGTTTAAATTCAAAATTTTCCAATTTTTCTATTTTTTAACTTCTGATTTTTTCAATTCGTAGTTTTTTCAGTTTTTCGATTTTTCGTTTGTTTCAATTTTTGAATTTTTAGCTTCTGAATATTTCACTCAGTTTTTGTTTCTTCAAGTTTTTACTTTTCCGATTATACAATTTTTCAGTTCCCCGATTTTAAAATTTCCAGTTACTCAATTTTTAAGTTTTCGATTTTCCCGACTTTTTTATTAACCTACTTTTCGATTATATGTTTTTTCAATTTATTAATTATTATATATTTTAACGTTTGGTTATTTTTTAATTTTGTGATTTTTTGTTTCTTCAATTTTTCACGTTGCAATTTTGCCGGGCTTAAATTTAAAATTTTCCAGTTTTTCGATTTTTCTGCCGTTGAATTTGTTTTTCGACTTTTCCGATTTTTATTTTGCAAATTTTTGTT